TGCAAACGGGAGCTGCCCGTGTTCCAGCTGCGCTACCCGCCGGCGCAGACCCTGCGCGACTTCCAGCGCCGCCAGCCCTACCAGTACCTGCACTATGCGCTCTTCAAGGTGAGGCGGTGCAAATGGCAGGGGGTGTGTGTGGGGGGGGTCCTGCTCCTCCGTCTTGCTCTCCTCCACTCTGCCCCCTGACTGGGCACACCCCATCCCGTGCGCCGTCCTGTGCCACCCATCCTATACCTCCTCTTCGACGCCCCAAACCTGCATCTCCATCCTGTGCCCCCATCCTACACTGTCAGCCTGCACCCTCTGATCTGCCCACCCTGAACCCCACTCCCATCTATCTCTGCACCCCCTGAACCCGGCTCCCCTCCATCCTGCACCCTGCTGTCAGGAGCTTCCCCTTCACTCCTCATCTGGCATCCCCCACCAGCTCCTCCATCCTGCCCCTGAGCCGTGGCACGTCAGCATCATCTGGGACACATCAGGCAGAAGGACTGAGGGGCCCCTGTGCTTGTGTCCCTCTGCCTCACCTTGTGCTGCCCTGCTGCCCCAAGGTCTCCCTGGACAGGCAGAGCATTGCCTGGGGACAGTGCACAGGGGCTGCCCCAGCTGAGGGGCCTGAGCTGGAGGGTCCAGTGCCTCTGTGATTGCCATGGGACACGTGTCTGGATGCTCCATAAGAAAGAAAGACTTGCTCAGTTTCACAGTGCAGATGTGGAGGGAGGTTTTGTGGAGGGAGGTTTCAGAGGGTTTTCTGTCTTGGTTTGAAAAGACAGGTGTCTTCTAAGGAAGGCAGGAACCTCCCTTGAAATGGAAAAATGTAAACACCCCCCCCCCCAGTTATAATCTTGAAATCAAGGGATTCTCAGGCAAAGATACAGGAATAGGAATAACAGTTTTTTATTAGGAGAATTAAAAATAAAAATGCAGTAGTACAAAAAAAACTAAAAAGCACTGACAGAATGCAACCTGACACCCTGTTGGTCAGTGTGTTGGTAGGAATCCAATTAAATGGTGGCTGCAGTGCTCCTGGAGTGACAGATGTCGTTCTGTTGAAGCAATGGTCCTGTAGAAGGGTGTAGTTTTCCTCTGAAGGTCCCCCGGTGGTGTAGATGGGTCTAGTCTTTCTCTGGGAATCCAGTAGAGAAAGGCTGACTGCAGTTTTCCAAGTCTCAGATTATATCCAGGTAGGAATGCTTGGCTCCTCCCCCTGGGTAGAGCTTCTCACAATGGGGTGAGGTGATTTTATCAGTCAGGAAGTGACACTCAATGGCCCATTAACAGAAGATGTCCCCCAGGAGTTATGAAGGATGGGTCACAGAACAGATAAAGAGCACTGCCCCACCAGGTTTTAACAGATGATAATAGAATACATACTTTTGGTTACATCTTGCACTGCAAACCAAGACAGGCATCCTGCTCAGGTGCCCGTGTGTTGGCCAGAGTGTCTCTGGCAGGGGAAGTCCTCTGGTCAGGGTCCTGGTCCCTGGCCACCTGCCACTGTGGGTGCTGTTTTAGCGCTCAGTGCCGCAGCCCCACTCACCTGGCAGTGGTGAGGGAATGCCTGGCTTCATCCTTAATGCCTTTTCCTCATGCTGCTCTGGCCCAAACCCATTTCATGGATGGGTCATTCCACCCTCCCTCCTTGCCTCTCACTCCCCTGAAGCTCCAACCCGAGAGCCCGTAAAGCAGCAGGGGCAGCAGCCAGGTCTGATGTCAGTGTTGGAGAAGAGTAGATGTGTGGGTCAAACCCACACCACGTGGATCCACCTCACGCCACGTGGACCGCTCCTGGCTGGATGTGGGGGCCCATGAGGGGCTGAGCTGTCCCTGTGCTCACCATGGGCACAGCCAGGAGGTTGGTGTGGCTGGAGTTACCTGCCAGGTCCATGTTCCCAGATCCTGTCTGTTCACCACTGCCAGTGGATGATTGTGCAGTGGGCTGTTCCCCACAAGGATCACCCCTCTGTCCTGCAGCCCAGGGGTCTGGCTGGGTGCTGAGGCCTCCTTGGCTGCAGCACTGGCCCAGGCTGCCCAGCAGCAGGTCTCTGTACCGGCTCCTCCTCCCTCCACAGTCAAATAAGATCGAGAAAGCAGTGTCTGCTGCCCACACCTTCCTGCAGAAAAACCCCAAACATGAGATGACCTTGAGGTACCTGAACTACTACAGGACGATGCTGGATGTGGATGAATACCTGGTTGACCTGGAAGCTCAGCCCTATGAGGTAAGGAGGGGAAGGGGCTGGGGCAGGAGAGGGGCTCGAAGCGAGCCTGGTCCTGCCAAACCCCGAGGGAAGCAGCTCTCCCTCACTAAGCAGTGGTCCTCGACAGCCAATATTCGTGCGGTCGGTGAAGCTGTACAACAATGGGGATTTCCGGAGCAGCGCAGCCGACATGGAGCAGGCGCTGGCCGAGTACTACAAGGCGTACGAAGATTGTCTGGCCGGCTGCGAGGGTGCCTACGAGCTTCAGGAGTTCAAGGACTTCTACCCTGCCATCGCAGGTAGTGGAGGGCTGGGGGACAGCAGAGCTGGGGAGGCGATCAGGGGTGCAACACCCGGCATCTCCCCCCAGACCACTTTGTGAGCGTGCTGCAGTGCAAGGTGGACTGCGAGACTGAGCTCACTCCCAACGTGGGCGGCTACTTTGTGGAGAAGTTTGTGGCCACCATGTACCACTACCTGCAGTTCGCTTACTACAAGCGTGAGTGGCAGTGGGAGCAGGGGATGGTGTCCTGGGGCACCCCGGGATGTTGTGGGCCCTGGGAGGGCTGTTACCCCTGTGTCACCCGGCGCTGCTCCCCGCAGTGAATGACGTGCAGGACGCGGTGCGCAGCGTCTCCAGCTACATGCTCTTCGACCCGGGTGACACCGTGATGCAGCAGAACCTGGTCTATTACCGCTTCCACCGCGAGCGCTGGCGCCTGCGGGACGAGGACTTCGAGCCGCGGCCGGTGAGGACCCCCCAGCCCCCACATCCTGTGGCCCTGCCCTGACCAGAGAGGGGCTGACACGGCCCCTCTCCCCTGCTGTGCCCAGGAAGCCATGCGCTACCACAACCAGACGGCCACTCAGAAGAAGATGCTGGAATTTGCCCGGCAGTACCTGCAGGATGATGATGAGGTACCTGCTGGGCCCAACGTGGGATGCAGATGGTGCCTGTGGGTTGCTTTTGGGGGTGTTGGGTGGTTTGTGTGGGTGCTGGAGGGACCTTCCTCAGGTGGGGGGGTCTGACCCCCCCAAAGCAGCCCTGGAGCAGAGACTGCAGGTGAGGCTGCCGAGTTCCCCTGCCCCCTCCTGTGCTGCAGATGGAGGTGGATGGTGGTGAGGGGCCAGAGCTGCTGGACCTGCCCTCTGATGGCGAGTTCGAGGGTGAAGGTGACTACGAGGAGGGCTTCTTCGCAGAGTGGTGGCAGGAACCCAAGACCAAAGGAGATAAAGACGAACAAGGTTCCTGATACCCCAAGAGTTGGGGCCAAGGGTGGGGGGATCTGCTCCCCACACCCCTGGTGCCACCAAACTCTCCTTGTTTGCAGAGATCCTATGATGAGCCAGGTGAAGGGGCACCTGGCACCAGCTGAGCTGGATGGCGGTGGCTCTGTGATGCCATCTCGGGGACATTGGGCTTTGGGCTCCTCCCAGCCACTGGTAGGAGCTCAGACTCATGGGGAGGGGCTGATCCTGCCTAGCATCCTGCAGCAGGGCTGCCTTTGCCACCTGGATGTCTGCTGCCCTGGCACAGCCCAACTCCCATCACTGGAACGCCAGCAGCCCTGAACGTCCCTGCCTGCCCAGGGGCCTGGGCCACCCCTGCCCCCAGTGCCCCAGGAGCCTGACCAGCAGTGATGCCTCACAGCACTGGGGTTTTCTGTGTCCCTCAGCTGCTCCCCAGGATCTGTGGATGATGCACCAGGATTGACCCCTGTGTTGTCTTGGGGGGCTTAGGGGGCTACCCCTACTTTGGGAGCAGTGCACAATGCTGCTGGAGCTGGTCATGCCCCTTCCTGTGGCTCCATGAGGCTCCTGCTCCTGTTCCTCCAGCCTCCCAGGCACAGCCCAGGTCCCCTTGGAGTCCTCAGCCTGGTTCTACAGGGGACTCCCGCTGTGCCAGGTGCCTGTGTCACCATGGGACTGCAGCCTTGTCAGGCTGTGGTGCCTGTGCCCTGCCCGTGCCTTGAATTTTTGCCACACCAGCCCTCTATAGCCTTAAGCTCCGTTAATTTAAGATTTCCCCTCTTGCACAGTTGTTCTTTTTATATATTTACTGGTGCTGAACTTTGAATAAAATCCAGACTGGTCTTTTCATGGCCGCCTCCACCTTCCACGTGCTGCCACGATGGGATCCAGGAACTCAGGGTGGGAGAGACCCCACTGTGGGAGAGGAAGGGATGAGTTCAGGCCTGGACGTCCCCACAGGTGACCTGGGGGAACTTTTGGGGCTGTTGACCCGTGGAGGCCATGAGAGCAGCCAGGCTCCTGTGAGGCTCTGGGTTCCCTGAGGGGGACCCCAATTTGGATCCATGACCCCCTCATTGTGCAGGGGAGTGTCAGGTGGGGTAGGGAAGGAGGCTGCAGGGGGCTGAAGGGCAGCATGTCCTACCCCACATGGCTCTTTGGGGTGTGATATGCATGACCTGGTCGTTGTTTTGGGGTGCAACACTGTGACACTGTTCCTTGGGGATGCATCCTGCTCCTGGATCCGAGGGTGCAGCCTGCATCCCCCCATGGAGGTGGGAGGTGGCAGGGTGGGATGACCCTTCTGCCTGCATCAGGGCGTTTTGGGGCTCACTGGAGGTCATGTTGGTGCTGACAAGGCTGTGCCAGTCCTGGGCTGGAGGTGTCGAGCAGCGTGTGGCCGCTCGCTCCTCCCTGCCGTGTTCCCGCTCGGCATGGAAATTGGCTACGAGGACTGAAACTGAGAGGCTGAATCACAGCGTTGGCCCCGGGGGAGGGAAGGGATGGGAATGGAAGAAAGGGGGTGGCAAGAGGCTGCCAGCACCGCACCCTGCCCTGCCTGGAACCCCTATTCACCAGGGCTTTTCCAGCTCTGCAGGGCACGGGGCGGGGGGCAGGGGCTGAGCCCCCAGACCCGTGGGCAAAGCTCAGGGCTTGGGAGGCAGTGCTGGGAGGGAGCACCCACTGCACCCCTGCGCCGGGAGAGGGCTGTCCTATCACCTGGGAGGAGTGGGCTTTGTCACCGATGGGTCACAGCCACCTCGGGGGGGGAGTGCCAGCCTGCTGGGGTGTGGCCGGTGGCACTCGCGAATGGATGAGAGGGAAGCGCTGAGCCCAGCGCTGGCACCGCAGCCCAGGGGACAAAGGCCTGCGAATCTTCCCGACAGCTGGGCGAGGGTGGGTGGCACTGGGCCCACGGGGCCTCCGCCCTGCTCTGACACACACCTGGGCACCGTGTCCCCTCCCCAGCCCCACACTTACGTGGAGAAGACAGCTCCTTGCTCCCACTGATCTACCGGCACCAGGCAAAGCCCCTTGCAGCCGTGAGCTGGGGTGCCCAGAGTCCCTTCCCTGGTCCCAGCTGCAGCCCCTGGATGTGCCGGTGCTGGCTGCATCCATCGCTCCTGGCAGTGCCAGGCAGGAGCAGCAGCTCTGGGAGCGGTGCTGTGACCCCAGCAGCGGCTGTGACAGTGAGCATGGCCACCATCCTGTCCCCCAGGACACAAAGAGTGGAGCTGCGGGGCAGTGCCAGGGGTGCAGAGATGGGATACGGAGTGACTGATTTGGGACACGGAGGTGGGATGCAGGGGGATGCAGGGGGATGCAGGGGGATGCAGCGGGATGCGTTACATACATGGTGAACACATCGTCGCGCTTCCCTGACACCCTCGACCTTGACCAAGGGGGGAGCGTGAATGAGATTTCTGGCTGACAGCTGAGCTGTGCTGTGCCCTGCCGTGCCATGTCGCGCCGTACTGTGCCGTGTGCCCATTTCCCTGTGCCGAGAGCTCTCTCGCTGTGCTCCGGATCTCCCGCTCAGCGCACAGCCATCAATTCCCTTTTTCTTGCAGAGGCGGTGGAAGCTCTGTCTCTCACCTCCCTTGGGAGCTGAGAATCCCCGCCTGGCAGCGCTCACAGCCAGACGTGCCAGGAACCGTACAGGCAGCGGGGGTGCAGGATGCTCCCTCCTCATCCTCACCGGGGCAGAATCCTCCTGCTCACCACACCTGGGGGTCCTGAGGTGGGCTGGGACGTATCCAATGGATGACT